TCTGGGAGTTGAAGTCCACTCATCTTAAAGTGGCCAAGTTTGGACAACATTGCTCTAAATGACCTGCATACAGTTTTACGAGGTGGATCCACTGTAGGTGATTTTCTTCCTCCCTGAATGTATTGGAGATTAGCAACTTAAACTGATGTTCATAAGTCAATGTGTTCATCCCATCGTTTGCTTACCTGGTTTCCGTGAAACTGCATGTTTATTTTCTGACTTCACTTGGGCCTTTCTTCTATATCTTTGAAGGAATGTTCTAAAAAGACATACATGTTGGTGAGCAATGGGGTAGGGTTATTTTTTTTTTTTTTTCATATCCCGTATTCCAACGTTGTTTCACCTTTTCAGGGTTTTTTTTTTTAATCCATCATACTGAGCTTCCTCTGGAAAGAGCTAAAGGCGATGATTAAAAGGTCCTTCAGGTGAACAACTACAAGGGTTCTCATTGCAAAGCAACCTGGAGTGGGGACAACTCCAACGTTGTTAGGTTCAGGATTCTAAATGACAAAGGAGTAGGTTTATTGAATACCTCCAGACAAGTAGTATTGTCTTCCAATCTTTACAAGAGGTAGAACCTGAAGTCAAACTCCAATACATTACCCAAATTAAGACAGTTCGCTGTTTTATGGTTATCATGATTTTAATAGCCTTTAATAGAGTTTTTAAAAAAAGAAATAGAGATGATCATTGTTTTTGTATCTTTTAAATTGAAGGGGGAAGATGTGATATGTTATTGTTGCTTTAATTAATTGTTGTCATTATTTTAAAAAAAAGAGCAACTCTCAGATTATACGTATACAGGCCAGGAGATTTTAGAATTCATTGTTCATCTCTGGATGTTGCTTGCATTGGGTGATAGTAAGATGTTTGTAATGTCCAGCTTGGGGCTGTTTCCTGCAGAAGGAAAGCAAGATTTGACAATGCCCACTTTGCCCTCAGAGAGATTTGGTTATGTTCTTTGATTGACTGGAATCGTTTTCCAGTTGTATGTGAACCAACCTTGTTTTCAGTGTCCACACCTCCTTTCCTGATGGTGGAACACTTGAAAAATGATGATACAACCTTTGCTGTGGATCTCATGTTTAGGCTGAAAACATGAGGGGGATCAAAAAAAAAAAATAGGCATGGAAACTGGAGTTTTGGAACTAGGTCATTGTGTCTTTGAGCAGAACTCCCTTCCTTCCTTCCTTCCTTCCTTCCTTCCTTCCTTCCTTCCTTCCTTCCTTCCTTCCTTCCTTCCTTCC